ATCAAGTGCGCTGCTTATCATATACCGATGACGATGCCGTTTTCTGGTGCCAAGCCAGCTAGAACCTCTTTCTCACACTACCCGACCAGGTGTTTGCTGCTGAGGTCATTTCAGGTCAAGTTAGGTCAAGGTCAATTATATGTGTTTGTATGTATGTGTGTCTGTGTGTATACTGATGTGTGCACCGATTGTTTATGTGTCCATATTACGTGAAATCATGATCTGAGAAGCTTTTACCAAAAAAGCAGTCAAAAAAACTTCACAAAAAGTAAATTCCGCTTGCCTAAAAGGTAATTATCTTAGATGACCTAGGTTGGCCTTGACCTTGACCTTGACATCTGTACATCGTCGAACAACATGTTCCATGATAGGTGGGAGGTAAGACTGGTAAAAAAGGCCGAAATCAAGGTGTCAAAAGCTCACAAGGCCCATAGCCAACGCAAGATGTCGAGAATTGGCCATTTGGGTCATGACATGACCTGAAAAACAAGGTCATATCTCCGAAACCAAAAGTCACAGAAACCTGAAATTTTCAGTGGACATCAAGAAAGGATAGGGGAGCAGCTATACGAAATATCAGCCTTCTAGCTCTAAAAATGTTGAGTGCAGAGCAGAAAGACTACCTGGGGGGTGGCAACCACCCCCCCCCCCCATGTAATTTGTATATGACATGGGGCCCGGAGGATGGCTATATGGCTATACCTCAGGGTCGCATAATGCTCAGTCGCATCTTGCACTGTAGCAAATATGCAGCGTGCGATTTACGTGCATGCATGTTTTAACGCAAAACACAAGACGACCAATACAGGAACCCACACTCACAGACGCAATGCACCAATCTCCTCCCTTACTCCAAGGGGACTTCCCCCCACCCACCCACCCACACGTGTGTCCGCGTCCGCCCACATACACACGGCATCCGCACCGGCTGGGATCGGTGGCGGTGCACGCAGTCGTTCAGAGTCTCTGGGCACACTCGCTGATTGCCGCGACCCTCCCACGACCCACCGCAGAGAGACTGATTGCCCGTGGCTATCTTTCCGGGTGGGCGGCGGACAAATGATACCCATTGCGGTCGGTAAATTACCGGCAGACCAGCCGGCCAGCTGACCGCTTAGAGATCGAGCCGTGATGTCGCGGGGGTTCAGGGTGAATTCAATGTAACTGTTTTAAATCAGAGTGGATCACTGGTTCAATATTCGTGTGGCTCAGCCGGAGGAATACCGCCGTGCTTCCTGGGTGTTGTATTTTAGAATGTCGTGATTGTTTGAAGAAGAATAAGAATAGATATTTGTTGTGCGAAGCATACGTACAAGAATGCTTTTAATGGTCCGGTGAATAGACCTTGCACCTGCACAGAGCTTTCAGAGGTGGTAGTTGGACTCCATTGGGTGACTAAATCAGCCCTTTGTCCTTTTCTTTGGGTGTTTCCACATGGCGTTATCAAACGGCAGACGAATAAAGCGTATACAAAAGCAGTATCTCGGAGGGGAACCAAAGATCTCGATTAATTCTAATACTAATATATAGGAAAGCTTTTATTATTAATCTGTGTTTCTAAGTACATACGCACGACATTTTTAGCATCCGCCTCCATTTAGCTATCCTTCGGCGCATATTCATAAGGACGGCAAACTCAACCTTTGGATTTCGTAATGTCCTATGTCAGCAATCATTATGTCGTTTGACTCATCTCATTTGTATCCATCATATGCTCGGAGCTTGTTCCGAACCTAACGCAGGTCAGACATCGTCTTTAAAATCTTCTCGGCGTGAAATAATCTCCATTTTAGGCGGCGATGTCTTCAACAGCGATTGAAAGTGAGTCGGGTCGGCGATTACTTTCCTTTTACGACATCGGCCTGCCGCCGCGGTTTGGTGCGCTGCGTTCGGACCTCTATCGGGACACGCTGACTACAGCGTCCGATCGTCGCTGGCGCAGCACGTATGGGGCCATTTTCTGAGCTGCACCGCACTACGCGGCACCGCGCCCCGGCCAATATTTGCACTGTCGCCCGTCCATTTAACCATGGCTGGTGAGATTCGCGGAATCGAAAGGTTGGCCGATGGTCGAGCAGAACAATCAGTGCCAAATACCCTATAAATCAGCTCGCGATCGGTTCGACAAAGACACTTTACAGAGACCATTTTTACCTCAATCCCGTAAAGCGGCTCATGCTGCGGCACGACCCGGCCAGGCCGTCGTACATTTACTGAGGACGGCCGCCGCAGTCCATTCATGCTGGCCGTATCTTGAGCCCTTAGCGGGCGCTCGGCGAGCATAAGCCGCCGTCTCCACCTCAGCGCGGCAATTGAGCCTGTCGTGCGCCACAATTGACACAGACGCGCCGCAATTGGCGACGGCGGCGGGTCACGATGGACGCGACGTCACGTCGGCGGTGGAATGGACGTGGCGCGGACGTGCCCCCTCGGCACGGCAGTCATCGAATCCAATCGGTCCGTGTCCAACTAACTGGGACGCTTTGCAACCGGGTCAGACTGCCGGTCAGCTACTCTGACGAGTCGACGGGCAGATCGGTTCAGGCGCAGCTGTCAGACGGCTATGCAAATATCATTCAATAACTCGCCATTCGGGTGGCTACGAAATGTTGGCCGGTTACCCGATGCATAATTGCAAAATGTTACGCAGAACGTTGATACAGAAGGGATTCGCATGGTGTGTTTGAGGACATAGTAACATTCTCACCCCTATCAGAGAAAAGACAAAGAGGTTCGCTCAGTTGCCCGGGAATTTCCCTCGGGACTGACGCTAGAGTGCGAATGATACCGATTACTAGACACTCACTTCAAATGGGGACGCTGTGACGGCGCTTGTTAGAGAGCCGCCGCTTTACACAGTGTAAAATAGCAGGGAATTCCGCTTCTCTCGTGCGCGATATTAGGCATGTAGCAGGAGTCGCTTTTTCTGTCCTAGCTTTTGGCCAGACGTTCACAAATCTATCTCCCGAGGTGCTCATTTTTCATAGACGAATACGAATGGCAGTGGAGATAAGCGAATACTGCAAACATACTTACAAATGACACTGCATTTCTGTTCTGTTCTGTTCTTCCATGCTTTCAGATGATTGGTACTGATTGATTGGTTCCATGGCACACACAGGCCAAACACCAAACTCAAGGAAAAGAATGAGGAGCAATGTCGAACAAAGGAATATCGTGCCAGGCTACATTATCCGGCCTCGATAACACCATAAGTGTTTCCTTTCCTGTTCCGGCATTTTGGCATAGAAACAATTTCAATTTTATAGACCACTGCGGGAGGAATAATAAGCAGTTTACCCTTTCAAAACCATAATAATTGCGTTTCCGAGCACCGACCATCTCAGAAAACAACTATAAAATATTCGAAGTGTGGCAACGTGATGTCACCAACGTTTAATAAAACAGACGGGATGAAACAAAAATTCAATCACCCTGCTTTTACGACACCTTGCTACACAATACCAATCGGCATTTTCGTTTCGTCATCGCAGAAACACCTACGGAGACAATGCATGGGTTTTGTGTCGTTGGTTGGGCTCTGGGGGAGGTAGGCAGAGGAGGGAGGCCTCCGCCCCTCTGCCCAGTGACTCATCGCTAGGGCGTGGGCCTTTCGTGGGGGACGCTCGCACACGCGCACAACAGTCCGCAGTGCAGCTATCCTTCGGGTTGCAACTGATCGTAGCAATTGCACCAGTTAAAATGTGTGAGAATGTGCACCAGTGCACTATTTCAGGCAAAGAGAGGGTAGAGGAGAGGTGGGGAAGACATTTTTCATTGCAATGCTCCCTCGAACAAAGGGTGTAAATGGCGCGCCATAATCGTCCAAGTTTTTCCATTTTCTTTCAGTGGCTGCGATGAGGAACGGCGCCGCTTGCAATATATCGCCATAGATCACGCTCATGTTTGGGCCATCTGTCTGTGTGCGCTATTTAGATAAGCACGTGGCCCTGATTAGGTGAGCCGGCAGTATCGCCTTCCTGGAAAGCCAATGACAGCTAGTATCTACATCAGAGGCTGACCTTTGGCGGTGGACGGGCCCGGTGACCCCTGACCTTTCGAAGTGGCCGAGGTGGCCTGCGGCGCGGTCCGCACGCAGTCACCCACTCCCCCGCCCAGCTCCCCGGCCGCCGGGGCCGGAGGGCGCAACACATGGCGAGCACATGCTGGCTCCTTGGGATCGGCGGTAATTTGTTTTGTCTAGCGCCGAACCGCGTCGGATCAATTGAATTTCATTGGTAGGCTGCATGCAGGCCTGCTCTGCTCCCGTCTTACGTAATGTTTTATCTGCTAGGATGTGTTTAAATTAGGACTGGCTTTCCCACAGTCCGCAGAAGTTCCCACAGGGCAGAACAAAACTTTCGAATGAATGGGATAGCAGCATAAGGGTACATGGGAAAGCATCAGGCCAAGAAAGAAAGGCTAGCCGCTAGAGGGAAGGCTGTGAAGGCAAGTGAGCAATGAGGAAAAACTTGATGGGAATATCGGAAGGAACTATTTCTAGTAAATATATCCAGAGGTATACAAACTAATGGGGCCATATCTAAAGCTCCGTAATGTTACGCAAATGTGTTTGACAGAATTAGGTACTTAGTCCAGAAGATCCTACAGGAGTTCCCAATAGTTTTAGCGTATAGCTTTAGGCTTATCTCGCTGTTACAATCTATCAGGTGATCCTACTACTGAGAGTGATTTTATCAATTGTTTCCGTTGCACGCACAATGCAAACGGATCATGACCGGTTTATCTTGCCTGTCAATGTGTATTACCGTCCTTTATCAGCTGCGTGAGTGTAGAAGTGATACCGCTGATACCCAGTACTCACTATTGTCGGTGATACTCCTGATACCCAGCACTCACTGATGTCGGTGATACCGTTGATACCCGGCACTCACCATTGTCTGTGATACTGCTGATACCCGGCACTTACCATTGTCAGTGTTATAGCTGATATCCAGTACACACCATGGCCGGTGATACCGATGATACCCAGTACTCACCATTGTCGGTGATACCGCTCACGAGGCTGGCAGCAGCGGCCAGCAGCACGAGCCGCATCCCCATGCTCCAGCTGCGGGACCTGACACACCGCGCCTGTCCGGTCCCTGCGGCCGCCGCCCACCCAGTCCGCGTCGGCCGGTTCGTCTTCAGGCCACCGCGCGACCACCACAGCCCAGCGGCCGCCCCAGCCGCGGGCCAGCCCACGGTCCAGCCCAGCTCCGCGCAGCCGCCGCCGCCGGCACGCCGCGCCCGCGGGATCTACTGGGGGCGGCCGGCAGCCCCGAGGCACCTCAGTACCTCAGCAGCTCACCAGAGGGAAGCACCGAGTCGTGGGCCGCTGCAGAAACCGATTCAGAACACCAACTAACTTCTGAGATGGAGCATTACCTTCTTAGCGGCGATGCCAACTAAGAATGACAAAAAAAAACTGATCCGGTTCGGAATCGGATGCAGTAGTTGAAGATCATACTTCTATCAGACCGCTTTCGTATCAGGGCCAAAGGTCAAGGCGTATAAGGCACAATCCTGGGTGATCATATCTCCACATCCGCATAGGGAAATGAAAATAACATCGGTGATTAGGTAGCTATGAAAAAATGCATAGCAGTTTAGTTTGGCTGACAAACAAATAAAAATGCATGACTTGGTGACAAATAAGTAGAATGAAGGCGTATAAACCTATAATTATTCACAGTGCAACACTTTGCACTCCATCGACTACAGATCTGAAAGCTTGGGCACTTATGCATGCACGGCTTCCTCGCATTTGCTAATTATTTGGTCAATCAATCATTAATTAATAAATTCCGTTAGTAAGTCAGTTAGGTCAGTTACAGTAAGTCGGTCAGGTCGGTCAGGTCAGTAGTTAATGTATAGGTTTATCCGTTTTACCTTGCACAAATAATTCCCGAGCCTTCAACAACATTGTTTGCGGCTCAGAGATTCATAAACAGCAACACGCTGCCTAAACATTGATATTCTCGCTTGTTGTAAAAGAAGTTAATTTGTTGTATAAATTAGAAGTGAAATATAGGTATATGCATTGTGTAAAGTGTTGTTATCCCTGTTCACTTTACAGCATAATGAAGTTAAGCCCACCATAACAGGACCGTGGTTCATTTGTGCGGTGGCTGCTCAGGAGTACACAATTCCGACGCCCTAATTAACGGCACTATGCGCTCACATATTATTCTGTTTAATAAAGTGGTGGACTTCATTAAAAATCTCGCTAATGACCTAACTGTGTGACTAACATGAATTAAGCTGGTATAAGCGCCACAAGCCCGTGCCGTGGTCTCTTTGTTCCGACTCCGCCGCTTCTCTGGAGGGCTGAAATGGCTGCAGGCCTGACTGGGGCAGCCAGGGGAGGAGGCGGCAGGAGCTTCGCTGGAGCAGCACAAGATATCTTTTTCAGATCATTCGACAACTGAAAGCAATTCGAAAACCAAACGCGGTAACCAAATGCAATAACAGACGAGCTGTTTTTTTTTTTTAAGAAATGTTCAAGTGAAAATTGACGGATTTAATGGTAAAGAGTAAAAAACAGTAGATCTTTGCCTCTGTTGCAGTGAAGAGTGCAACAAATGCTTACTGACTTTCTTGAGCGAAATATGAGTACCTACATCGAGTCAGTCTATAGTCAGCTGGACAGCTAAACAATTGAAAATGTCATGTTACGGTTTATGCAAGCCAAGCTCATCGAATTTTCAACGTGCTTCTGGTTTTCGGGGCCATGATTGAAGGTGCTGCATCACTGGCCCTCTGATGTAGGTGTCAATTTTAGAAAACGGATGTCCAATGTCCGTCCAATGTCCAATACTCACGTCGACTGTCCGTCCAACAATGTCCAAGCCAGCCATTTGTCCAAAGATGTCCGACATCTACGCAATAGTTTACACTCAACACTCTTATTGAATTTGCTTTTAATGTATGGCGTTACCAGCTCAAAAGTGTTCATCATATCGAAAGCTGAGCTTTCTTATAGCCTATCAATGTTAAACACGATTACTTTATAAAAATGTTTATACTTTATAAAAATGCTGAGATTCATGTAGCAAGCGATGTCCAAAGTTGTCCAAAGCCTGCTGTCATTGTCCAACCGAATTCCGAATTGGACATTGGACAAAATCGGAATTTCGAAGATTCAAGTCCCGATTGACACCACTAGTAGGTACCAGAGTATTCTCCTACTTTGCTCATTAGTTGTGAGAAATCATGCACGTTGTGAAATAATGCCGCTACATTATTTCCGAATAATATTCCAATTCATCTTACAAGTATAACGCGTGCCATCAATTGTCGGCCAAGTGAGGCTGGCCGTACTCCAAGCTGTGCCATAAATTCGGGTCGCGTTCCGCCTCGATAGTCGTGTCAAGTCGGCGGCGGGCCGGAGGGGCAGCACGCGCCATGCATCTGTCGCTCGCTGCTCGCCGCTCGCCCGTCGCCGAGGGCGAGCGGGGCGCCGACGTCCATCACATCGCGAGCGGCGCTCCTTCCGCTCCGTTGGGCCCAGAGTGATCGCTCATCGTCGACCGATTGTTGCCCGTATGAATGTCGCCGCCCTGTCCCAGCCACCGCTCCCAGGGGGAGGGGCAAACAACCGCTATGAAGAGGGGGCGGGGACGAAAGGAACGACTGCAGTACACCAGAATAACGCACACAACAGTTTCCGGATAGGGGAGGGGGAGCTAAAAAGAATATCTCACCCTCTGAGCAAACTGGGGGCTGCTGCTATGCAATCCTAGCTGATTTGTAGTGCGGCAATGACTGCCTGGCGCGGTGCTAATAACATAAATAATTAATACGTTACGACCTGTTGTGGATCCAGACTTCCTGTTCCGAGCCTGAAGCTAGAGGAGAGAGAGATGCCCGTGAGTGACCCACACGGAAATGGTGACCCAGGTCAGGACTCAGGAAGCGTCCCAGCAGCACGGGAGCCCGGCATGCTGTCTCCGTGACTGATGGCTGCCCCGCGGGAGACTTGTTTGCGGTGTCGTGCGCCACGTTTGTCGCGCGGTGCGGCATGTTTGCGCCACGACCGCCGCCGCCGCGCCGGTGCCACTCGGCAAACGTTTGAACTGCGAACACCACTCGACGCTGTTTGGATTGGGGTGGTCCTGAGTGGGAGGGGTGTGCTAGGGGGGGGGGGCGAGACAACAGGGCGATCCATGACCGGTGCATTCTGTCCGCGCTGGCTCGGTCACAATAGTCAGTCACCCGAGACAAGGCGGTCTAGCCGATCAGCCAGCTTACAGCCTGTGCCTGAGGGAATGTCCGGGCAAGGGATGAAATCTGGCTGAGATATTCAGAAGAATATTCGCTCCAGGGAGCTATCCACGGGAAAACTACTTATGTCCGCTAAATTTGTGTCTTGGCCAATATCTTTCAACCCACATCCCTCTAAAAAAAAAAGACAGATCGCACGAAAGGTCCATGAATATAAATCGTTGGCGTAATCCCACACCCGCATTTGCTGATCAATGTATTGTTTTATATAAGTTCAGCGACGTCAATCGTCCAATTAAACCCTCGCCCGTATAGGGGGGGGGTCGAACGGACCCCCCCCCCCTCGGTTTTTCGCGAATAACTCGCGTAAAAAGCGGCCGATCGAGACGACACTTTCAGTACCCTCGCGTTTATCAATTTTACAAATACCCTGAAATTTGTATGACCCTGATCTCAATGACCTTTGACCTGTGACCTACTTTTCGAGACCATGTTTGGCCGGAATCGCGATTCGGCGTATGTCGGCCCGCATTAGCGGCGCGTTTGCAGTCTTTTCGTGGTTTTAAGAGTTCAAACATGGGATATGATGTTGCTCCCATGCATTAGGGTGGGTGTCAAGGTCACTGGAAGGTCAGGTTATGTCATTGACCTTTGATGACCTCGGTTCACTTTTTCGTTTCGAGTTTTACATGTTTCTAGGCCAGTTTTAGGAACTGACTGAATTCGAATTTTGCAACCATATGAACATTTACGAAGAAGTTTTGGTGCCTTCGTAACATGTTACAAAGCTGTCAGAGGCGGTTGCCATCCACTACGAATACCCTTACTGGTTGACCTGACCTGACCTGACCCGACCTGGCCTAAATGAATGAAGACATCATCTGTGATCAAAACTAACATGATATTCGTGATCAGCACCCCGAAAAACCTCATAGCAGCCACGCTTTACGGCTTTCTAACAGGTCCCGATTTTCCCGACTTTTGGGTCATTGACCTGACCTGGAAGGTCAACCGATGACCTAGGACCTTAAAATTGGGTATCATCGGCTTCCTCTCGTCACGGCCAACACGCTCGTTTTTTCTAGCTCGATCAGGGGCGAAACGGCAAGGGGGGGGGGGTCCAACTCCCCCCCTTATACGTTTGCGGCTGAAAAGCACCAATACGGGCGAGGGTTAATTTGACCTGAGGCAAGCTATATGGTCAAATGAGAGAGAGAGATAGAGGGAGAGAGATAGAGAGAGAGAGAGAGAGAGAGAGAGAGCGAGAGCGAGAGAGAGGAGAGAGAGAGAGAGAGAGAGAGAGAGAGAGAGAGAGAGCGAGAGCGAGAGAGAGAGGAGAGAGAGAGAGAGAGAGAGAGAGAGAGAGAGAGAGAGAGAGAGAGAGAGAGAGAGAGAGAGAGAGAGCAGCATTAATTAAGAAAATTCAATCATCTTTGTTCACATTTCCGAGATACATATTTTGAAGAAAAAAACATGGGATACCTATTGTATTTCACTTTCAACTTTTGCATATCCTTCCGGATGTCAGACAGGCATTTTTATCCAACAAATAGAAATACAAAATAGTTTTGAAGGACATAGCTGATAACATCAGCTAGGATAATATCAGCTAATGATAAAAGACCAGTACCTACAACGCCTTTTGGGCGAAGAACGAGCTAGCGAGATGGTGAGCCCTGCACGTGCGGAAGGGCGAGAGTGTACTTCCAACGGGGCTTGTGCAAAGCATCCTTCTAACCGGTCGCTAGTGCAAACGGGGTCCAAACTGACTTTTGCATGGCATCCTACTAACCGGTCCCCAGCCGTGTACCAAATTTGAGCACTATCGGCCCAGCCGTTCTCGAGATCTGGAAGCGCCCCCTGCACGTGCGCACGTGCAGTAGCACCCTAGCCGCAACACATGGGAATGCATTGCCTGGTGGGTGCCTACCTGTATGCCAAGTTTCAGCGAAATCGCCCCAGTAATTACCGAGTTATTGAAATGGGAACAAATTTGGCACCTCTACTTTTTGTATTTTGCACGTGCAGTGGGGGCCACTAACATAGATCAAGGGTATCCGACCATTG